AGAAAATTTTTTTATAGTGACCGTAACATAACTTTTGTTTTAAAATAAATATTAAAACTTCCATAATTTGTATTAAATGAAAAAATAAGAAAATACGTATTTTCTTATTTTAAAAAAAAAAATTTGACAAAAAAAAATTTTAAATAAAAACCTCACGTGGAATGCTCTATATTGGTTCTTATGAGAATTAAAGACAATTAAAATTAGATAAGTAGTAAAAGTATATACAAAAAGAAGTAGTATTGTTTAAAAAAACACAAAAATTGTAAAGTGGAATCAATCTTGATAATAAAACCTTAATAATAAAAATTATAAATTAATTAAAAATAATTCATGAAAAAGACATAAAAATCATACATTCTCTCAGCAGTTTGTACATTTGATCTCGGCAGTGTGTGATAACACTGAAAAATAAGAAGAAAAAAAATGAATTATCTAAAAATTTTACATAATTATGAACACTGTAAGTGATTGAATCGTAAATTTCGAAAAGGAATTAATTCAGAAAACCGTAAGAGCTATTTTCACTATTCATTGTTATGCGAAAATGACACGCATTTTCCAACTGTAAACTTTTCGAAATTCACGATTAAAATGTTTTCATTAGAGGCGCATGAATTTCACATAAATTTAATGATTTGTTATATTTTAAAAAAATTTATTAGATATAATTTATTTTTTTTTTTTTTGACTAAATTTTTTATTTTATTTATTTTTCGAATTATCATTTAACAGAATTTATTTTTTTTAACGAATTTTAACTAAACTGAATTTTTAGATACCGAGTTTTTATTTGGCAAAATTATCATTTAACAAAATTTTCCTTTTTAAATGAATTTTTACTAAACAGAATTTTTATTCCATAGAATTTTTCTTTATCCATCTTTGTATTTAAAAAAAAATTAATTTTAATTTAGCATAATTCTCGTTCAACAGAATTTTAACATTTTCAAATGCCACAATTTCCAATTCACCGAATCTTGATTTGTTCGAATTTTTATATACAAAAATTGTTAATTGAGAGAATTAAAAAAATTATAAAATTAGCATTTTTAATTGGCAGAATTTTTATTTGTCCGAAATTGCAAATGACCGAATAAAAAATTGACATAAAAATTTCGGCGCTTTTTTTTAAAATTGATCACAATCAGATCAACAAAAAAAAAATCGTGATTGAAAAAATTTTGTAAAATCGCGCCGAAATCTTTTTGCTGATTGTTTATTCGGTCATTTACATTTTCGGACAAATGAAAATTTTAAAAATTCTATCAAAATAAAATTCGGACAAATAAAGATTTGATAAATTTGAATTACTGGCATTTACAAATTTGAATCACATAAAATTGCGCAATGAATGAGAATTTTGTTAAATTGGAATTTTTTAAAATAAAAAGTTAGCAAAGATGAATTTTGTAAAATAAAAATTTTGTTAAGTTTTTGAATTTTTTTTTTTTTTGTTTTTCAATAAAAAGAAATTCTTTTCAAATGCTAATACAAGAAATGAAAATTCGAATATAAAAAATAGATTAATATCTTATAAAATTCATTAAAAATGGAAATTTTAACTAATTATTTTTATGGAAATTTCATGTGCCCCTATGAAACATTTAATGTGTTTTATTAACATAAATAAGGATATAAAAAAAAATATATAATTTTTTTTCAAAATGTTTTAGGAGGGAAAAAAGGCTCTTCCTCTTCATCCGCTTACCCCCAAAACAAGTTCTAAACAACCTCCTTAAGTAAATCGATGACCCAAACATTATTTCCCTTATGTTGTGCTCGAATATGTTTGTACATGTTTGAGCGAAGTTTCGAACGTTGAGAGCAATATGGACATTGAAATTGTGGCATTTTTCCACATTCATAAGCGACATGTTGATTGAGACCGCCTTTTCTTCGAAAGCAAGCGCCACAATTTGGACATGGATACCTCAGTATGTTATCAGTTTCAAATCTGAAAACTAAAATATAAACAAAATTTTATTATTTATCATTTTACAATTTCACCAAAATTAATTTTTTCTATAACATAATAATTTTTTTATGTGCGAATATTTATTATACATTATTATAATGGTCTAAAATTTTAATAAACTAAAGAAATACATACTTGTTTTATAGAGTGAGATTTTTTTTTTTTTTTTTTTTTTTATTGAAAACATATATATGTTTACACTTTTCAAAATTTCATATTCATTTCGAGACATATATTGCTTTATTTTTTTACGCGTCTATTGTTAATTGTATATTAATATGAAAAGCAATCACCTTACTAATATTTTAGATATTTACATATTATTATAGAATTTGCTTTTCTTGTCAAAAACGTTAATATAAATTTTGAAATGAGAAGGCCTAATAGGTAATGATGGTTTTAATAAATTTTTATTGTACTTTATTGTATTAGGCCTTCTTCTTACAAAAATTATTAATATTTGTCAAAAGTAAATTACATTCAATGAAAATTTTTTTTTACGGGAAAATTGTTCGTTTTTCTAATTTATTTTTTTGTAGAATATTGTAGAGAAAATTATATTTTACATCATAAAATATATGGCGAAATTTAAATTTTAAAATACTCATTCTAAAATTTTATTTCTATTTTGAATTAGTTAAAACTGATTTACAAGTTTTTTTTTTTACGTCATAACTAATAACTGATGAGATTTTTTTCGACTAAATATTATAATATTTATTTTCTAAATTTTTTTTTTTTAAGTACCTTTATTATTATTTTACTCAGTCTTGAACAATTCTATATTTCGTTTCTTTGAACTATTAATAATACTTCGGCAATTAATGGTATTTGTTTGTGACATATAAATTACATTAACATTGTGTACGATATTAATACACAAATCGAAGACAGTTTAGCACCTTTTTGTAAAAAAAAAAAAAAAATTTACAACTAAAAATAAAAATAAATTGTTTCTAATGTCAAAATAAAAAAAAAAAAAAAATGTAAATAAGATCGAAAAATTATGGAATTTTTAAGTTTCTTTTTTTTAATAGACAGTATTAAGGGGATGGATGAGTGAAATTTTTTTTTCCTACGTGACTAAAAATTATGAAATTAAAAAAAAAACATTTATTAGTTAATAAATTTTTTATCTATTCAAAAATTTTAAAATTCTGGAAAGATTAAAATTTAAACTTCTCTCAGAATTTCTATTATTTTTCATGGACAATTTTTTTTTCATTTTTATTTTATAATTTTAATCAAATAAATCGTATGGATTTTACAAAAATCTTAATCTTTACTACAAAAACTAAAATTGATAAATAAAAAAATTCTAAAATGGTAAAAAAAATTATTTTTTTTTTTAATTTTACAAAATGAAATCCGATTTTTAGATTTTTTAAAGTAAAGCAAGATAAAAAAAATTGCGACCAAAAAACATAAATGTTTGATTAAAAATTTTTCAGTATCATTATAATTATTATTAATATTATTATAATAACAAAAAAATTTACAAAAATTAAGAGGAAATTAAAATAAAAAAAATTATTTCTTTTATTTTAGTTTAATTTTTAGGATTTTATTTAAAAATCTTTTTTTTTTTTCAATTATGTTGTAAGTTGAACATTGTTTTTCTATTAAAATAATTTTTGTTAGAAATTTATTAATTTATTATAATATGATTTTATATAACTTTCTTTGAGAACATTACTCGACTTTTACCGAACCGTTAAAATGAAAACAAGTAAAATTGTCGTCTTTCATCCGACACAAATTTTGAATTATAAATTGAATTTTTTTAAAAGAAAAATTCGAATTAAATCATGATTCTTTGCAGAAATGTCGTCAATGAATCAATCGATTTTGTGAATAATTTTTGCCCACCAAAACGCAATTTTTGAGAACAAACTGTTTTTTTTGAAAAATGGCAATTTTTGAAAATTTTTACTCTAATATTGAAAATATTTTAAATTTCTTGCTACTTCTTTAAAAAAAAAAAGTTATTTGCTAAAAAAAAAATTTTTTTTTCTAAAAGATTTTCCAAAAAAACTTATTTTTTTCTACACTCTGCACCAAAATTTTTTTCATAAAATCTTTGGTAAATGGTTTTGCAGAATAATAATTTAAAAGAATCTTAATTTTGAAGAAAAAAAATTGTAAAGAATTTCAATTTTACAGATCATTTTTTTTTACATTTTTTCATTTGTTCGAATTTCCATTTAACCGATTATTATCTCAATGTTGGAGAATTTTTTATTTAAATCAAAATTAATTATCCAAAAATTCAATTTAATCGAATCTCAATTTTTGCGAAACATTGTTTCGTGTAAAATATTTATTTTTTTGTAGAATAGTAATTCAAAATAATACCAATTATTCTGAAAGAAAATCACTATTAAAATTAATATTCCAACATAAATGAATATTCTGCAAAAATTAATATACTACGAAAAAATGTTTCACACAAATTGAGATTCTATAAAATTGAATTTCTGGCTAATTAATTTTCGTCTAAATAAAAATTCGATTCTCCGACATTGATATAATCGATTAAAAATAAAAATTCCGTAAAATTAAAATTCTTTACATTTTTTTTTTCTGTAAAATTAAGATTCTTTTAAATTACTATTCCGGAAAAATAATATTCTACAGAATAAAATTCTATTAAAACATAATTTTAAAAAATTAGCTTTAGTGTTTATTCATGCGTCTCTTATAAAATGGATTTATCTGTACATTGACAACATTTCTACAAAGAATAATGACGATTTAATTCAAATTTTTCAAAAATTTGTGTATATGAAAAACCAAAAAATGATCTAAATTTCGAAAAATTCAAATAAAAGTAAAAAAAAAATTCAACTTCAACAAAACTCAACAAAGTTTTTGTAAAGAAATATTTTTGAAAAAAAAAATAATTGTCCAGTGTTACTTTGAGTTAATTAAATCAAATTTCTTTTACTATAATAATTTTTAACTAAAAAAATAAATGTTTAAAAATAATTTTAAATTACAAAATTACATTTATGAATTGGGCTCTAAATCAATAGCATAAATTTTTAAGCCAATATGCCTATGTTTCACATGTGTGTACATATTACTACGTTGCTTTGTCTTGTAATTGCAATAGGGACATTGAAAACGAGGACTACGATTACATTCATATTTAAAATGTCGCCAAAGGGCATTTTTTTGTTTATAAACTTTACCGCAACTCTTGCAAACATTACCACCAGGTTGTTGTGAATTGACGACATTTTTCTTTGCATCAATATTTGATGCTTGACGAACAGCAACATCTTCACGGAAGGCTGCATATCCATTCCAAAATGCAACTATCAACAAAATTGAAGCAAAAAATCAATAAATATTTAATTTTTTGTTAAACACACTTTTTTTTTTGCTTACTTTTTACAAATATGTGTTACATATGATTTTTAAGGATTAATTTTTTAATGGGCTATTTATATATAATTAAAATATAATTTGTTTTTAATTATTTAATTTTTATATATATTAAAAATTTTCATTTAAGCGATTTTAAATATTTTAAGGCTAAAAAAAACAATTACTAAAGCTAACATTAAATTGGTCAATGTAGAAACAGCATAAGTCTTTAGAATATCAAAAATTTTTCTCGAATCAATAAAAACTGGTTTTCTTATAAATATAAGGGTCGGTGTCTAGACACTTTCGTCTGTGAGCTGTTGCTGTTTTATTTTTCAAAAAATCTAGTTTCAAAATATTTTCAAACTTCAACATTTTTTTAATTCATTAATTATAATACTGTGATGTAATTTTTTAAAATTAGTTTTTCTTTTTTTTTGGTATTTTTCATTAAAAATTTCTATAAACTTTACCAATTTTTAACACTGAAATAAAAATTTAATTCAATTAATCGATTATCAAATAAATAATTATTAGTAGTGAATAATTTTTATTTAAGCCAATTAAATGGTATTTGTTGCAAATAGAGAAATTTTTGGTTTTTAAATACAGTTTATTTGATTCAAATAAAAATTATTTAATACAAAGAAATATTTATTTGATAATAGTAAAGTAGCGATTATTTGAATAAATTCAATTTTTTTTCAATGTAATTTTAAATAAAAAAACTTTTTTTTAATAAATAATAATTATAATTAAAAGCCGAAGGTTCAGACGATACTGAAATTTATGTTTGATTATCAACGATTTTTAGAGAAATATTCTTTAGAATGAAAAATTCTATAAATTTTCGAAAAATATTTCTTACAATGTTTATTTTTCATCAAAAAATTATAAAAAAAATTTATTTTAAAATTTTTATAATTTTCCGTCTTAAAAAATAATTTGCTTTTCTAATCGTTATGGACTTCAGCATCATAAGGTTCAAGACGTTTTTTTTTCAACTTCAAATTTTGAATCTTCAAAAGTAAAATATTATTCAAAGAGTTTTTAATATTAAATATTGAGACTTACGAAAAAAAAAAAAAAGAAGAAATTTCTTATTTCAATACTAAAAAATGCTAAAATTGTTCCAAAAATATTCAATTTTAAAATAAGTAATTTCAATTGTAATTTTCTTTTTTTCTAGAAAAAATTTCGAAATTTTTTCCTACTTTGTATCTTACAAAAGAAAAAATGAGCCAAAATTTCAGAAAACGTTCAAATGAACAAAATATATTTTTTTTAATCTATAAATTATTAAAAATTATACTGTCAATGTAAAATAAAACAGTAAATTTAAAAAAAATATTAAATTAATAACTTCTTTTTAGATATTTAAAACAATAGTTATTTGTAATAAAATTCCTATTTAAAGAAGTTAAAAAAAAAATAAATTTTTTTTTTCATTTGAACGTTCAAAATTTTTGACTCATAAAAAAAAATTGTTTCTTTACTAAAAAATAATAAAATTATTCTAGAAATATTCAATTTTAAAATAAATAATTCCAATTAAAACTACTTTTTCCCCAGGAAAAATTTCACAATTTTTTCTTGAATTAACTTTTTTTTTAAAAACGAAAAATTTAAGATTTTACACATATTGATATAACTTAGTTACTATTAAAAATAAACGTTAATTTAAAAGTTTTATTTAAGGAGAAATTTTCAACAAAAAAAAAAAATTGATTTTCGAAAAAATGCCGTTTCTACACTAACCGCCTCATTTTAATTGTTAAAAAAAAAATAGCACTAATTAATATACATAATATTTTCCAGGAAATCTTCATTGTAAAAAATCTTCACTGTTGTAATAAGCTTCGAAGAATGTATAAATTCTGCTGAAAATATAATATATATATTAATACAATATTAAATACAATATACAAAAAATACAAATTAACCTAAAAATTAAGATTTTTAAAAAATAATTTCTATTTTTTCTAATATCTTTTTGTTCGTCTATAGAAAAAAAAAAAATTCGCCACCTGAAAGTAAAAATTTTGATAAAAATTACAAAATTTCATATATAGCGTTTATAAAAAGTTATGTAAAAATATTAACATAAACACACTTACGACATTCATGAAATAAATATTTAAGACAGGAACAATAAATTCTCGATATTTTTTTGCGGTTTTTATAACATATATATTATCTATAAATAATATAGGCAAAATATAATGGTACATCACTGTCACAAATTCTTCTTTTTATCACATCAAAAAAATCAAGCATCACTTACATATATATGGCTTTAAATATGTCACTTTATTAAAAACACATATATATATATATATATAGTTTTTGAAAATCAGTAACGATAATTTTTGAAACACATTTTTTTGGGGGGGAAAAATAGAAGGGAAATAATAATAATTTTTTTGTTTAGCACAAACATTCATTGGCGCAGATATTTATTTGAAAGTTTGAAAAAAAAACAAAAATCTTGAAAATGTCATATTGTACACGAATCATTTGAACACGAAAATAACACAATTTCATAGTATATATATTTCGTATGGCTGGGCATTGAGTATAATTATTATATTATTAAGTCAATTTATTTGTAAATAAACAAGAAATATGGTTTATTTAATAAAATAAATGACTTACCGGCAATAACGCACAGGACATAACCTCTACACAACACATATATATACAACAACGAACAGCTGAAGCGGACGACTGATTATGATGATGATGGAAATAATCGATTTAAGGCCCATATGGCCACCTATCGAAATCGAATCGAGAGATCGATTCTAAATATTTTAAATTTAAAATCGGAATTAATTACATTTTTTTTATATAGGGAAATTGTAAATAAATAAAAATATTCGTTTTCAAAAAAATTTTTATATACAATTCAATTAAATTTTTTTATTTTTTTTTTCTTATATTCAAATAATAAAAACATAATATTTATACCTGATGAATCGCTATAATCGAATTCAAATCATAGAGTGCTCTAGTTAACTGCTCAAAATTTTTACTTTGAAATATTAATTATTTTTCATTATTTTAATTTGAAATTTTCTGATTGTCATGTACAGGAAATTTTGTTTACTGTAATTTTCAATTTAATACTATATATTTAGTATCTGATAAATATTTAATCACTAATTTATTTCTAATCAAATTTTTCCCATCGATTTTTTAATTATTAGCAAATAAAAAATTATAATTTTTATTTTTCATAATAAATTTTTTTTACATTGTGTATTAAAAGGAATTATGAGAAATAATTAATTTTTATTTATAAATAATGAATTATTATTATTATTATTACTATTATTATTACATTAAATCTGCATTTTGTTGCAGTTTGAATTGTGTTAAAATAAATAAATTTTGTATATAATTGATTATCTACTAAATAATAATTAATTTATAATAATAATTATTATTATTGTTATTATTATTATAAGTGAAATTAATTATTTACAGTCAATAAACAGGACACACAATTTTTGAATATTTTTCCAAGTTATTTCCATTAACAAATTATAAATTTTTTTTCTTTTACATATTTATAACTTTTTTCCTATTGACAATAGAGAAATTTTTTTTTTTTTTGCAGAAAATGTTAAACTTTTAGAAAAAAAATTTTGTGAACAAAAATTATGATTTTTTAATGAATTTGTTTAATTAAAAAAATTTATTTATAATTTTTAAACCTGTTCTCTCTGTTTTTCAATCTCAAAAAAAAAAAATCATGAATATTACTGAACTTATAATATTTTATTTATTATTTATTTTCGATAATTTTTTTTTTTAATTTTCTATTCCTTGCTCAATGTTGCATCAAAATTTATTCCATTGTTTTTTGAAAACAAAAAATAACGCTATTGTGAAATTTATGGTACTTAACTTTTTTTAAGTTAAATAATATTCATGATTTTTTTCGAAGTTAAAAAACAAAACGAACAAGTTTAAAAAATAATTTATTTATTTATATACATAAACGGATCTTGGGAAGAAATAAAAATTGCCCTCTCGTATGATAAGTACTCATAGAAAAAATAATGCAAAAATTAAAATTACAATAAAAAATTAATATATAAACAAATTTTATTATTTAAATACATTAATTTATAATTTCTTCTTGCAATAATTTTTTTAATTTAACATTTTTTACGTAAAAAAATTGACAACTTTTTTTTCTGTTAAACAATTAGAATTCTATAAATAGAAAAAAAGTTAGAAGTGAAAGAAAAAAAAAATTGTTTTTGTTAATGCAAATATTTTGAAAAATATATTAGAAATTTCAAATTAATATTTTGTATATCTAATTTCGATAAATTGAAAATTGTATAATAATAATAATTCTTTATTAGTTTATTTGGATAATTAAAAAATCAATGCGGAATAAAAATTAGATAAGTAAATTACTTTGAATAATTAATAGAAATAGAAGAATTATAGTAAACAGAACAATCAGAATGAAAAATAATTAAAAATATATCAAAGTATAAAGTTAATTAATAATTCTTTACGTTTTACCTGTTAATCCTCTGCCTACTAATGTGACCATAATCGTCTATTTGAACATCTTTAATAAATTTTTTCACTTCAATATTTTAAATTTTCAGTTGAAGGTAAGTCTGAAACAAATATTTTAATATTAGAAAAATATATTAAAAGTAGGTAAAGCATTTGTCATTGTAATAAATTATAATAAAGACATAAAATTATATGCATAATAAATAAAAAAGTAAATAATAGAAAACATAAAATAATTGTAATAAAATAATATTATAATAAAAATTATAATAAAAATTATTATAAAAATATTAGAAAAATATATTTTTATTTATTATAAAAATAAAATCATTTTTAGTCTTCTAAAATAATTTTAAAATTTTCTCTTCACTATCTGTTTCTTAAACAAAAAAGCAGAAATTTATTAATATAATTTACACAATTTTATTGAACTCAATTATGCTAAATAATATTTTGTTTTGGTATACAAAGGAGCAAAATATTTATTTTTAATATGACTAACATTAACTTAATAATATACTTAAGTTAAATGAATATTTAATAAATTATATTTTTGTTGCACTTTAATTATATAATAAACATATATCAGAGAGTTGTAAATATTTTCACGCACTATAAATATTTATATACAACAAATTAAAAAAAAAAAAATTCCCCTCAATTTTTGTAGTACAAAAATTTATTTAACAGTTAAAATAAAAATGTGAATAATTTCATTTTAATCAATACCAATCGTTATACAAATATTTTATTGTCTATATGAGTCAATCCATTATATTTTACCTGTTGTGGACTATTAGAAAAATATTATAATTCATAATAATCATTAAATAATTAATAATCAAAAAAATAATTATTACGAATTATAAGATTTTTCTAAAAATAGTCAAGGCTCATGATTATCAAATAAAAATAATTAATTAGAATTTTCCTTTTAAAGTATTTTATTAGAAATAATTATTTTTTAAACCAATTTTCAAATTAAAATTTAGCATATTTTCTTTTTATACGAATTTTTACAAAACAAAATTTTTTGCTATTAAATTTTTGTTTCGCAGAATTTTTATTTTACACTCATTTTCTTTAGATGACTTTATGAAAAAATTTTAATTTATTTGAATTTCAATGTAACAGAATTCTCATTCAATCGAATTTTATATGATTCGAATTTTTAAATGACAAAAATTCCAATTTATCGAATTTTAATTTCTCCGAACTTTTATTTGCACGAATTTTATTTTATCCGCAATTGCAAGTGGCCAAACAAACGATCGATAGAAAGAATTCGGTCCAATTTTTAAAATTGACCAATCACGATTTTCTTGATAATTTCTAATTGGTCAATTTAAAAAAAAAAATCGGCGTTTTAAAAATTCGTACAAATTAAAATTCGGTGAATTGGAATTTTTGTCATTTAAAAATTCGAATCTCGTAAAATTCATTTCAATGAGAATTTTGTTAATTTAAAATTCGCTTGAATTAAAATTCTTTTATAAATAAAAGTAACATAAAGAAAAGGACTAAAATAAAAATTTTGCCAAACAAAAATTCGGTAGCTAAAAATTTTATTATGTAAAAATTTGTATAAAAAGAAAATCTATCAAATTGTAATTTAAAAATTGAAAATCTGTCTAAAAAATTATTTCTAATAAAATACAAACTTTTAAAAAAAAATTTAATTAATGATTTTTATGAAAAATTTATGCGCCACAAATTTGTCTGCAAAGATTTTAGATGAAATATAATAAATTGACCCCCTAAAGTTAATAAATTCATGAAAGAATTATTTTTTCACCATAAAAATATTTTGCTGTTTAGACAATCTTTTAATATTGCCAAATGTTTTTTTTGTAATAACATCAATTGCATAAATATCCTTATATGGATGAAGAAATTTCACATGCGAAAGAATATTACGTGAATATTTACTAAGAAAATGACAATGGGGACATTTAAATCTTGGCCCTTGACCACATTCAAATTTACAATGACCACGTAATGAACGAATATTTTTATAAGAACTACCACAATTATTTGGACATGGATATTTTTTAATATCACTTGATGAATTTATTATTTCCACATCAACCGAAGGACCAGAATGAAAATTATTACTATCATCATTATTTGAAGGCAGAATTTCATGATCAATTTTTTCTTGTTCTGAATCATCAATATTTATAATTATATTGTGTTTCTGATTAGGATGTATACGTTTATAATGTCTATAGATATTACATCGTTTTTTACTGAGATAAGAACAATATGTGCATTTATATAATATTTTCGTACATTTCACTGATTTTTCAGATAATAATGAAAATGAATCATCTTTTGTCAATGAATCCTGATTTGAATATGGGATTTTTTCATTTTTTATCAATTCTAAATTATCTTCATTTGTCGTGAAATCTTGAATATAATTTAAATTTGTCCAATTGAGATTTGTGGAATTATTTGTATCGTCGAATGATGCATTATTGATGTCTACAAATGTGTAGTTATCCACATCTGAAAAAAAAAAATTTTTCATTATTAGAATTGAATAAAAAATTTTTAATTCAAAATTGGTTAATTGTTAAATTATATTTATTTGAAAAAATATATATATTATATATAATTCTAAAATTACTGTTTAAATAATTTATATTGTTTAACAATTGCACAAAAAGTCGGTAAAGTTCACAAACACAATCAACGATTTAGAAAAAAAAAATAAAAATTATTTTTCTAAGCAAAAAATTATAATTTACCAACAAAAATTTTTGTAACATTACTCTACCAAAAA